TGCTGAGGGGAGCAGCGGGCGGGTCAGGAGAGGTCTGCCACGCCATGTGGTCACCTCCGGGGCAGGCGGGGATCGAACTCATACGGAAGTGGCTTTTAGCTTCTCAGTGCTGCGCTTTAACCCGCTGCGCCACCAAGGAGGGCCAAGATACTTCTTTTTATAAAACAGTAACTGAGACCTTGGTGGCTGTGACATGACTCAAGTTCTGAGCCACTCTGGGCACAATGGAAAGGCTTATGAAAGAAACAGCCCCTTGCTACTGCAGCTACCAGGGATGAGGTGATAGTCTGAGCAAACTTCCAAGTTCTGAATAATGTTCTGTTCCTCAGGTTTGACTTTCCTCGATTGAGGTGGTCATTGCTTTCTACTTTCCACTGCTCTTCTTTTTGTGGTTAGTTAGTTTTTTTGTCTCATGGCTCCAATAATCTACTTTCTTGCTTTATCATGGGCTAGCTTGCTAATCAATGGCCCTTCTTGAAGACCGCACATTCTCATAATTTCTTCCTTCACATACTTTTTCATCCTTCCAATGTTCCACATCATCTCTAAGCACATTGTTGTGCATTATATTTCTTTGTCTAAAGTTGCCCTTTCTCCTACTACCCCTCCCTTTTCTACATTAAAGTACCTAAAGGATCTGGAAAAGTAGGTTCTTGAATGCAACTGGCTGGATTTTTTTTAATTGGGTAATGTGTATGGTAGGGACCACAGGGTACTCTAGTCTTTGTCTACTGATCTACCAGCACAAGAAATTGAAAGAAGTGATTATTTTCGGTTTCCAGTACAACGGAACACTGAATGTATCTCCTAGAACCATTCTTTCTTAGAATCAGGACCATAACCCAGCAGACTCTAGGTTTGGAGATAGAAAACAGTAATTCCACCCATGGGTTAGTGGATGTGACAGTAATAGGAACCACTTCTATGTCAACTCCTTGGTTCCTATCTATATAATCTCTGACACAATACCAAATATGTTAGTGTTGCATGTTCAGCAGTATATAAACGGTATCCTGGATAGCTCCTCTGCTTTGCAAGGTGCTGTTTCTTGTACCAACAATTTAGTGGCGTCTGTTCTTTTACTTAAAAGCTACTCACTGAAATGCCATGATAGGTAGTATTTTAAAATTGGGCCCGAAAAATATGATGAGCCACAGCTGCCCTCCTGGGACGTTCCAACAGTGCCTGTCCACCTGCACCAAGCTCTGCCCATCACAGTTCAGGAATGCGGCTCTCTTCCATTCTGCTTCTCCATGCCCCATCTTTCCCCAAGAACCTTAACAGATTTAGAGCCCACGACTTCCTGTCACCAAAGCGCCTTCAATCCTTGCCTGACAGACTTGTCCACAGAAGTTGTATCATTAGGTCTGCAGCCCATGACACGCAGCCAATAGGGCAGCCAGTCACCCCGT